AATTTTAAACATGGATTCGTTGTTATTTTACTTTTTTTAAATATTTCATCCTGAAATTTTTAATCTGTATTTTACAAAGAAAGTTTTACAAATATCAGATGTAAGAGAAACTTTTAAACAATTTGCCAAAGTATAGGCGGAGAAGAATGTACAAAGGAGGATCGACTGCTGGTGTTAATTGCATTCTGGTGATTGTGAATGGAAGTTCAGAAGACTTCAACAATGTTTTTATTTTTCGTACTTAGCCTTTGGTATTGTACACTTTTGAAATGATTTAAAATAGTTTATTTTTAATGATGGTGCATTCATTTCCTGCATAGAATAATATAGAATAAACAAATATTTATACACATTTAATCATTTACAATAATGGTAACAAAATTTTAAAGGACAATAATGATAAATCCATTACTTCAATTTTTACAATTATTTTTTAGTATCAGTTAACAAAAATATTAAATTTATTACTGTGAGAAATATATAACAAAGAGATTTAAATTAAAAACAAAAAATTGTTATTCTAAAATCAATAAACAAATTATCACTTTGCAAATTTATAATCTTTCAGAATGGAATTTTAAAATTTATTTTTTGATAAATTTATTTATTTATTATTTATTAAAATAATTCTTAATCACTTTTGCATAGTTTGTCTTTCAATCAATATTTATTTACTTTTCTTCTACCACAAAAATGTTTAATAAATTTTTTGTTTACATTACAGTAGACTCTCAATTACCCAGAAGAATGAGAAAAATGTTGTTCTGGTTAATCCAGTTTCATTTAAATCCTTCACCAACTAAACGGAACAGTCTTTGTTAGTGTATGAGGGTATATAAATTTAACAGGATATAAATGAAGGATTTTCAGATTGCTAGTGTAAATAACCTAGACTTCCCATTTGGGTAACTTGCTGCACCCAACTAAGATTTATGAAGCAGTCTGAAATTACTTTTAATAAACTGGACACTTCCATAAAGTGCATCATTCCTCTTCACCTTCCCCATTGACTAGAATTCTAATAGCCTACAAAGCAGACAATTTGCAATGACTTAATGACTCATCCGTAGGCTTTTTTGACATCCCAGTCATTCTAATCTTGGATAATTGAGTGTCTCACTTTAAGAAATAGTTAATGATTCTTATGGTAGAAATACAGGTACAGTACTCCTTGACTCATGTATGTAACATGCAATTTACAAGATTCAGACTTATGGAAAAAACTTTAATCATAAAAATGGATTTTGTTTTTCTTTTCTCATTTTTGACTCCATCCTCTCGATGCTAAGAGGGCCTTTCAAATATGTCCATTGTGAGTTTGGGCAGACCTACAAAGGGGTCATCCAAGTAGTGAAGCTCAGTGCCGACATACCTGAGACAGATCACCCCAAAAAATTCCGGAATTTTTGAATCATCTGGATTTGATTTTGGGATCCCGGAACATTATGACAATGTCTTAATTGCCTCGGCCATAAATAAAAATGGATTAAAATAATTTAATTTACTTTATATTTTAAATTTGTCATCATTAGTTTTAACATCATTATGTGCATGCATACACATACAAGCATCAATAAATTTGGTAAATCAAACATAATTTTTATTATTTTTCCTTTAATTATGATCCATATCATAAATTATACTAGTAACCATTTCAAATATATTTGTTATGGAAAATTTTCAACTTAGTTTTAAACACAAAACATTTACATAAATCAGGGTACACCTGTATTTAAATGATGTATTGATTTTTTAAACAAATTCATACTGTTATAAAGAAGCTTCTTGGAATTAAATACTCAAGTTCCCATTCAAAGCAGAGCAAAAAAGAATAGCATTTCTTACACAATTTTGTCTACATAAAAATATTTTTCTCTTTTTATTTATGTAGGGGGAAAAATATCCTATTCTACATGAACACAGTTTGGTTCTATGGTACTTCTGCATTTTGCAATCCATATTTTAAATAATGAAATCATATTCTAAAATAAGAGCAAATGGTAGTATCTTAAAAATTTTTCATTAAATAATTTTATAGTAATTTTCACATCTTTATTAATTAAAACTACTATTTCTGAAGGCGTCATTCCTAAATTAATTACAATGATATCTGTTTAATCTATTAATTAACATTAACTGCTTTCAGTGATATTTTTTGTGGTGTCTTATGCCTTTTTTTTATTACTCTGTACATAGAAAATGTTTTTAATCAAAATGATTAGTGCATTTATATTGAAAAAATTTTTTGATTGCATTGCATATGTCATGTTGAGCAATTATCATACCCATGACTTAAATGATTAATTTCGGAATATTATTGCAAAGGTGCGATCAACCAAAATCTGAAAGTGGATGTGCATAGACCGACGTCCAGTCCCGAAGGAATATTGTTTGGAACTGCTGCCTGATGGGTTGATATTTGATAGTGTCATTTTGCGATTGGTTGATGATCATACCCAGGCCTGCGGTGTTCAGAAAACTATCACCGGACCATCCGAATGTGCCTGAAAACATAAAATTTTGAATAAAAAATTAACGAAATTAATCTTTAGATGGAAAAAGTAATCAATATACTCACTTAAATAGACATCATTGTCTGTCACTACAAATGAATTTCTGTTTACTCTATTCAGTGACATGGATATTTTTGTATTTGAAGGAAACTGAAAGAGTTTCTGTTTAAAAAGTAATAATAAATAGTTAAGATTTTTCTTTTTAATTTTAATAAATTTACTATTTTATTAAAAAGAACTTATTAAAATCAAAAATTTCTAATTATTACATTATTAAGAAAGAAAACTGTTTATGATCTTTACTAATTATTAAATCTTATAGAATTACACTGGAAACAACATATAATTTGCTCCAATTTATGCACTAATGTAATTCTATAGTGACAGATAATCATATGATAATATACTAGTAACAATAACGTAGAACAATGAGTCCGTAGACCATTCGTGGCCCTCTGCGATGAATTATCTGACAAATTATTAATTACATTGGTGAAAATTAAAAGTGTTGCACCCAGATGAAGTTGCAGAAAATGTATGAAACTTGGATCAAAGTATCTCCATATGAAGAGTATTGAATGATTAAAAATTGGATGAAGTACATGTAGTAGTAAGGAAATTATGGGGCATTTATTATAAACTAAAAGCATACAATTTTGCATTAGTCACAAACTGTATTATATAGCAAGATCCTTTTTTATTCACAGATTGTCAGTAACCATGTATGCCAAGTTCCACAATGAGAACTCTGTATACCCAAATGTCTGACTTTGAGAGAAGTCGGATAATTCGCATGTTCTGAAGGGGTACTGTACATCATACCACGAAATCTCCGATAAAATGGCAGTGAAATGGTTACAGAATGGATGCAGAAAGGTCCAGCACTTGCAGATCTGACATTAGTTCAAACGGAAGAATAATGCCATGTGAAGACTGCCAAATTATCTAGATGACAGTCATTGACAGACAGAGGACTGCATCTCAGATCTGAACACAGTTACACTCAGTTACCCCACAGACAATTGTGTAAACTAAATGCTTTGAAGTTGGTGTTTTCATCAGCATTTAACAGACATCCTCAGGTTTAATTCAACATTTATAATTACCAGAATGTTTAGTTTACAATAAAATTTCTACATTTTGCTAGATTTTGATGTTGGTGAGTGCTACTTTTGAACATTGTCAAGTTTTTTTGAAGATTATTTTTGCTTGAAGCTGGGTTGCACTCCCAGACAAATCCTGCAAGGTGTCACAAACATGGATTGTCTAATACATCTCGGATTTATCACCAGTAGTGCGTGTCTCGGGCATCACGTCACGTGGCGACCCAGCACGTGGGCAGCATGCCACATGTACAACTGACTGCACAAGTCATAGAGATATCCCAACAAGACATCCAAACACTTGTTGATTCAATGCCTGCAAGAATCACGGTGGACACATTTCTTACCGAAATTTGTACCAAACTTGGCTCAATTCATTTCAGTTTGCTGTCATTTCTTCTGGGTATGATCCCGTACATATCTACCACGTTTCACGATATTCCACCGATTGTGTCTGGGTGTTACTCTTTCGATTTCCACCAGTGTAAATAAGAAAATGTATAAATATGGATTCATTAAGAAACATAATTTGTTTGATATAAGCAAGCCACGATTTTAATCTATGAATTAAACTATGACTTGCTTTTATCATTTTTCTCAGACATTGGATCTCATAATAATTTTGATGACTATCACTGACATAATGTGCTTAAACTTGAATTGCAACATAATATATTGTGCTAACATAGAATATAAATCATATAGTGTTCCTCCAGCTTAAACATATAATATGATTCAATGTTATTATTAGAGTACTAAAAATCGCATAAATACATATAAAAGTTTATAAGTTATGATTTTCATAACTATATAACTTTTAGTGCTCAGATGCCCTTGCTCTAGTTATTACAGTATAATGAATATGAATAAGATTCTAAAATATCTTCAGAAATGAATAATTAATACTGTAATAATAATAATAATTTGTAATTCTCGAAAGAACCTTACCACATCAATATGTATCATACTACTATTGAGAACTGCCAAAGATTTCAGAAAATAAATCATAGAAGGATGTGTGTTTTTCCAATAAGTGGCCAATATCTTTACGGAAATCTTCTTTTCCACTGCCGCCTTCCTCAAAGCTTCATCAAAAACAGACCAGTAGCTAAAAATGAAAAGTATCAATGTATTTAATTTCTTAATATACTAACTTTAAAATCACTAAACGTAATGTAATTTACTGGATATTTTTATTAATGCACATGGCTGGTATGTAATCCATGACTGATATGTATATATAATGTTTAGCTTTGGATATGATGTCTATAACGCTGTCCACATTCGAAGATCGACCTTTCGGACACAAGATGTTGGGTGAATTCTGGAAACGACACACATTTAATTACAATTTTTGTATAAAAATGTAACGAAATATTCTCACGAACATAGCTAAACACGGTAATCGCATACAAAATAATTACAATCAACCAATGAGTGTTCCTTACAGAAAAATAAATTTGGGTGAAGGTGTCGTTGATGTTGATACTAAGAGGCACTTCTTTATTTATCGTAGTTTCCAAACTCGAAGGCCAATCGGAAGGAATTTTGACATCGGGTCCCGCTAACGTCCAGTACAGCTGGAATATTTTCTGCAGATCTTCGGCCAAGCAGCTGCAGTTATATATAATCACTCCGATGTCCTTCATCTGGAATTTATCCAAATATCTTTTTAATTATGTGGCTAGAGTATTCTTCCATAAATGTCTGGACTTCACTTTACCTGACCGATGGTCAGCCAGTCTAACGATGACGAACCTATATAAAGGTGAAGATCGTCAACTATCCATAACTGCGATGTCACAGATCCAGATCCTTGCAATCTGCCTAGATCTATATTTCTTATTTCTATGTTTCCTGTTTATGTAAACTTATTTTTAGTATATTTATTTAATTAGTGAAAAAAATATTTAATTAAATTAATTAACGCACTTACCAGAATCAAAGAGATCATTTTGATTGTTAGAAGAAACAAAAGGGTCGTTTCTAACTATCCTAAATTGTACTCCTTTTTCGTTGACTGCTCTTTCTAATTCCTCGTACAATTTATTAACCTGATTAGAAAAACATTAAGGAAGATTGAACGGAGAACACAAAGCGCACGAATGTTCAACTTACATTCTCCTCCAAGCTAGCAGAAGGTAGATTCCAGTTTGTAGTAACGATATCTAATGATTTTTGTGCTTTTTCAAGAAGGTCCTGCAAACCAGAAGTGATGCTGTTATGTAGAGGCGATAGCGACAGATTTTTCAAGTCCTTCGGCACATTTTCCACTATAGTTAAGCTGAAATGAACAATTACACAATGCACACGCATGCACAATTTCTATAGGAGTTATTATTAAAGGGTACTAACAAACAAGAATCGGAGCAATTGTTCCATCCACCGTAACTAACATCTTTAGAGCCTTTCTTCTTCTGAGTATCTTTATCATCTAGTAGAGGTAAAATGACGACCAGGATGATCAGGATCAGGATGATAGTTATCGGGATGCAGGACGGTTTCAGCCATCCGTTCCATTTGTCTTCGGCTTCTTCGCTCTTAACCATGTAACGATAATCGAAATGTTGTAACTCGAACTCGGCGATGTCTAGTTTCCCTCTGCTTTCAATTGCAGTCTAATAAAGATATTAGATTAAACTACATCAATAACAAAAGCATGTGTTACCTTCTGTTACAACTTCAACGTGTATCCGTGCGTGTTTAAAGTATGCCAGAATAAAATTTTAATCTCGTGTATTTAGAATTGCTCGTTAATCTTAGCTTCGACGATAAACGGGATTAGTATTTTGATCGAACGTTTGCTGTTTCAGTTAATTTCACACATGGGGAAAACAAGGAAGATTATTGATCGATCGCTGAAAGACAGCTGATGATCGATGATAGAGGCGTTACTGATCGATAAAAATAGTATCGGATACGAGTATAGACATTGTACTCTATACTCGTATCCAATACTATAGCCGAGATTTTTTAGCCACATAACCTAATTTCATTATTTTATTTTATTTTTTTTAGAAATCAAATGATAAATATATTCAGAATGCCGCATTCTGAGAATTCCGAGTTCAATCCGTTCCAGAATTCTTAATTTTGATGGTAATTCTAGATCCAGGAGTCGTTCTCCATCCCTCACCATTATAGAAGGTCCCATACGATCCCATTGCGAGTTGGGTCCTTTTATAATAAGCCAAAACGTATGTTTTGATGCCTTGCATTAACAAAATCTAATCCTTGATCAGATTCGGGCTACAGTGTAGCCTTATACTACGAAGACATAATTTAGGACATCACGTTTTTAAATTTATTATTATTTGGTTCTGCAGGCTACAAATCTAAACCCGGCCTCTATATAAATAAATTTTTGTTTATCTCCTCATTTATTCAAATTATATAAGTTTTTTTTCTAATTTTAACGATCTGGCAACTTACATCGTCGAATGAAAATAATATATTCACTATTAAAGTGGTTTATCGATTCTTTTCGACCAGTGGGACCTAAATGATCACTCGGACATCATCAAAAGTTTGTAGCAGTGGCTTCTTATCTTTAATTCTGTTTTTCATATTTATGCCTACTTAGACCTTGTATCAGAATCAAAACTTATTATATTTATTGTAGAAAATGAAGAAAACACGTGTGTACTGTACAGTACATACAGTGGCGTAGCTACGTATTCAGCGCTCTGGAGCAAATAGAATCTGGCGAAATCTGTTTTGAATATTTAGTTCAAAAACATATATCTAATTATTCCGATTTAAAACCTTACTTAATAACAATTTATTTGAGATTCGAGGCATTTTAATAATAAGATATTCAATTTAAACCAAATATAATTCTTTAAGTACGGAGTACCTAATAATATTTACTACATATAGGCTATAAACTGTATTGACAAAATATATGCAAGTTTAGTTTCATAACAAATACGTAACAATACATAAAACAACTTCAAGATTGTTGTTTTCTCGCTTTTTCGTTTGCAAATCGGTCAATCACTTTCTCCAGATCAAATTGACAAGCTATTGTTTTTTCAATTGATATAATAGCCAAAGAACTAAGACGATGTTGCCACACGCTGCTTCTTAAATAACTTTCGATTAATTTTAGCTTCGAAAAACTTTCTAACTTGGCGCCTTCATAATTCGTGCGCCTGGAGCACTACGCCGCTGTGTACTGTACATACCTTAATCCTTTTTATCTTTTCCCAAACGCATTTCGAACTACTCTCCTCACCATGGGTACAAAAGGAAGATTTTTTTTTTTTTTGGTACAGTGTTTACAAGCTAAAAATTATACACAATTTTAATTATACAATAATTTACATTAATTATGTAAAATTTTAACTCTCCCTAAGATTGTTACATTTTTAGACTCGGGGGATCTTGAAACGTCGAAAAATGCAAAAAAATTCGAGAGGAGTAACTTCAGTATGTATGGATGTTAGTGTATGTTTGTGGCAGGATTTTGTTCACTCTATTTGAAGCTTAACAACTGTGATTTTTGTCGAAAATTTCTGAAATTTTGCAGGGAGGTTTGTCTGTTAGGGAGATTCATGCTATTAAATTTTGGTGGTTAAAGGTCGAGAGGGTGGGGAGAAAAAAGGGGGTCGTGTGTATCTCAAGTAGGGTCGGACTTAATGACGATTTTATATTATATAGCTAACATTAACAATGCAAGAAATGATAACTAGGGAAAAGTTTCGTATATACAGGGGAGCCATAATGGAGAAGGATTATAAGAACAATTAAAGACTAATGGAAGTGTAAATAGGATGCATTTACAACGTTTGATTAAAAAATTTTAGCAATTAGGATAAAGTAGTTTCTTATGCTCGAAGGAAAATGGTACGTAAATCCCCCCGATATAAGATAAAATTAATTAAATTAAAATTATTTTATCTTACTTATTTAGTATAAAAGTTTACGTCAAGCGAGGAATATATTAAAATGGGTCGCGACAAAATAAATGTTAAACGGAAATATTGCAATAAAAAAATAGAAGATGCATTTTAAATATTCTAATTAATTGTAAATGATATTAATTTTTATGTATTATTTTAGTTAACAATCTTAAAAAGTAGTGAAATCTTGCAATTTTTTGATGGAATACAATAGAAACTTCCGACGTTGTAGGCCTAAATGTAAATTATGATTTTGCATAATTTTAGTACCCACGACGAAGAACGAAGTAGTTCGAAATGCATTTGGGGGAAAATAATAAGGATTAAGGAATTTACCTTGTGCTTCCTCTGTTCCATACAATAAGTAGGATGCGAGGCCCAAGTAGGCATAAATATTAAGAAACCATCAAAAGTGTATATTTATATACTTTGAAGAGACTGGTAAAGCAGGTAAGATATTATCTCGTTTATTAACGAATTATCCGGATATATGATGATAGATAAAAACTTTATCCGGAAGTCGGATGTTTACTCGTTCTAGATAGAGGTCGATGTGATGAATACAATATTCTCACTTAGGCGCGTCTAAAAATATTATCCTTTCCACCTTGTTTATTATTACTTGACCGAATCGGGTGTGGTGAATACCAATATTATACTTCATTTGTGTTCGTGTATCAAAAGGAAATTGCTTCGAAGTGTGTTTAAAAAATAAATAAATAGTTAATAATCCGGAACTGAATACTTGTTTCAATTTATTAGCTTTTATTAAATACGAATTGGAGCTTAAAAATTAAATTACCAGCGAAAGTTTTAGGCTTTACCGGGCTCCTAAGCAAGCGTGAACCTTCGAAAACTTCTTTTACTATAATTTAACGACTAGACACTAGAGCGATCAGGAAAGAAATTAGCAAGAGATCCTAGATGGTCTCTTGGGGCTCCCCTATCCCTTCTAACAGGACATTCTCAATTTATTATATTTTTTTCCGAAACCTTTATATAGCCTACTTGAAATCACATTGATTTTCTAGATTATATAATTAAAATTTTAGGTTCCGAGCTGCTCTTTTACTGGTCCAGGCCCTACGAGGTATCTTATACAAGAGCCTGTATCCTCTGTATCCTTCCTCTCTCGACCTCGTTGTACCAGGTCTAGGTCGGGGGTGAGCAGCCCTTGGCACGCCAACGACTTTTTTCTGGCATGCAATCCGGGACTCATATTAAAAAGAAATAGCCAACATCGTCGAGTTGTATATTTTAACTTAATAGAATATAATTTTATCGAGTAAAGCGATACTAAATAAAAGTACAATAAAGAAACAAACACTATCAACTGTTTTAGTAATAAGATGATGATAATAATCATATGCACCCAAAAATTTCGGTTGGCACATGAGAAAATGTTGCATCAAAGATTCGGCGAATTTTGCACGCACACTTAAAGGTTGCTCGCCCCTGGATCTCTAGGATCTTAGTACCTGGATCCCGCTTACTAGACAGAGTATCAATTAGAGAGTAAAGTGTATTTGTGCACGTTTGAAGCCCCGAAAGCACGAGGCCTTAAGACAAAAGCCTAAGACTACCTATGCCTAAAGATGCCACTGGTAATTAAATATTTATACTCGTATAACGTTTGGAGAACTTTGTTTTACTATAAATGATATTAATGATGATTATATTTAAATCTTATCTTGAGGACTTCGTGTTGTTCCTTTTATTCAGTGTTCATATGGGAAATTATTCTGTTTATTAATTATATTCTAACTAATCTATATTCCGTATCACATCTTTATATAGAATCAGATACACAACTACTTTATGGGAAATATAATGTATTTCAAGACTATTTTATGATTGAAGCGGATCGATGCTGTATTTTATAATAAAATGAAGCATTAATATTTTACAAAATAATAAAACAACTCTGTTAGTATTCTGTAAATTGCAATTAATGCGAGATAGATAAAGTACAGGATCATTTACGATGCTGTAAAAAATCGAAAATCTTCGTATTTTTTTAAAATTAAACGCCAAACGTCTGATACAATTGTCAATCAGTAACGGTAAATTATCAATCGGTTTATAGTCGCACGCAATGTTTACATTAGGAATATTATAAAGATATAGCGATATACCTTATTGTATCATTGAAGTGTCTCCATTATTTAGTGATCTTTGGGAAAAATGAAACTTCAAAATTTCTCTTTAAATCCGTTTAATTTAAAAAAAGAGGCTTATAAATTTAATAAAATCCGTTTAATCTTATTGAATCTTATAATCGGAGGCTTAGCGATGGACGACTAGATAAGGTCTTAGGCCATTCCAGTACTAAATAAGAAAGAGCTTTATGAGCTGTCCTAGATGGAAAGTAAACAATGTAAAAATTAGAACACTTATTTTTTTATAACATTAACATTGAAAATACTTAAAAGTATTGTTCTATTGATCAAAGTATGTTCTTTTACGTATACATTATACATGTAACGTGAACAGTTAACACACGTATTGTACTGTACTACATTAATTGTCAAATCTTCCCTCCTGATTTCGCGAATCTACTCTTAATTATGAGACATTATCAAGCTTATTTTTCTGTAATACGAAGAAATAACCACAATCAATGCGTGTCCAATTGTACTTTTAACAAATTTTCTGCTTCTAATTAAAAACAGTGTGGATGTAAATTGAATATCGGGTTCTCGTAAGCCAAACAA